TCTTTAATGTCTAATTGTTTTACTGTCCCTCATGAAGAAAACCAATGACAGATTACTAAGTATCACTTTTTCAACAGGGAGTCCTTCGTAATCACCATGATCAAAACATACCATACACACCTTTGGAGAGAGAGAAATTTCTTTCTTTCTTTCTTTCTTTCTTTCTTTCTCTCTCTCTCTCTCTCTCTCTCTCTCTCTCTCTCTCTTGCTTTCTTGCTTGCTTTGTGTGTGTGTCTATGTATTTATTTATAATCTTTAGACTGAATTAGAGCTGGCAGTAGGTGCTGTGTATGAAACTAAACGTAATGGTATCTGTAATGGTTCTAGGGGTTGCTCGTGCGTAAGCCGGTGCTTATCTCCCCGGCTGGGTGCAAACACCTGGCTGGGTTGCCTAAGTGAACCTTTTCTGTCTGGACAGCCACTCACCCGTGGCTGACTCAATCGCTGGCAGAATCCGTCAGTGGGCGTTTCTTAAACTTCTTCCAGCAAAGAAGCTCTTTGACGCCTAGTCTCCTCCTACTTTCTCTGCGCAAAAGCCTTCTGCGCAAGGAGGGCGTAGGCAGCGGAGGACCCCTACTCTCCCCGCTGGTCCCAAGCAAGGAGTCATGGGACCGCCTCGCTGCTTCCCCCATCTGCCCCCCTTCTCCACTGATGCTACGCTGATTCTCTTCCCCAGAAGATGGGCTGCTTCTCCCAATCCCTGGACGCTCTCTGGAATCCCTCTGGCTTTTGCTCTCTCCCTCCGGCACTGATGGCAGTTCCCTGACAGTATCTGAGGATTCTATTTCAACACTTGTATAAATCTTAAATCACTCTTAATTGAGTGTGCACATGATGCTGTATGGATATTTTATGACAGAAACTTTTTGATAAACCAATCCAGTTTACACTTGAAATGATATCGGTTTTCCTAGCAGGTAGCTGAGAGACAAAAATATTTTATAACCACAAGACATTGTACTATGTTTGTGGCAGTGAGGTATCTGATAGCAGGTTGCTTTTTTATTATGTTCAACACCGCATGCACGCATGCATGAGCACACACACAACCCAATGTGTGAATAAATGAATGCATGGTTTCATTATGCACACCTGGTGCAACACCCCCACCTATGTACACTTTGGGACAGATCATCCAATTGACTTTTACACTTGTAAAAATTGTGTGGTTGATTTCTTGGTTGATTTCTTGAAAATCAGTTTTGGGATTCTGTGTGATTTCTACACGTATCCGAGGCAATCATATAACCCATCCTTGTGTATATGTAGGTATGGGGAGCTGGGATGAGGGGGAGAAGCTTGTGCACTTCACACATTGGACTGGTTAAGGGAGTAGATATCATCAGAACCAACTCACTGGTTGGCTGAGATGTTGCCTGGTCTTCTCAGTCCAATGACAGAGGGCACAAAGCAATCAGCACAGTTTTGATTATGTGAGAAGGGGCAATTGTTAGTCTGGCTGGTGTTAAGCCTTCCTCCCATGAAGGAGAAGGCAATAGATTGATGGTGAGGGAAGAATCTCAGAAAGAAGGGAACCTATAGAGAGAAATCCCAGCGGAGGTGGGGGGGGAGGGGGAGAGAGAGAAGGTGCAGAGCATGAACAGAATGATATGCATGAAGCTGCGGAAAGACAGAGATATGAGGGGAAAGACTAATGGATCACAGGCAAGGAAGCAAAAACCAGGCCATTTTTTTCTTAGCTCAAATTGTTTGTTTCCATATGTTGCCATACTTTAGCAAACAGGTCATTAAGGCAAAAATGCAAGCATTATCCTGACAAGAAACAAAATATCTGTATACAATTTAGAAAAGAAGAAATAAAAAAATTAAAGGCACAGGCCTGCTAAGGTTAAGCACTTTGAACTCTAACCAACCGTAACTGGAAAAAGTACGGATGTGTGTAATTCTCCAAGTGAAAGTAGTGAATTTTTATTTTTTTTAAAGTCTAGTAAAGCAGATCAGTAGTTGGGTGTCGATTGAGGGTATTTGCTGAGCACCAACATGACAGCGATGGGGGATTGAGGATTGGAGTGATTGTTCTGTGGTATTATGGCACTGGACAAGGCTGTGGTGTAATACTTGATTTTGTGGGTAAAGTAATGTTATTATTTGTTTTAATATTAAATAAATGTGTTAAAAGAAAAGAAAAGAAAAGAAAAGAAAAGAAAAGAAAAGAAAGCTTTAACTCTGGCAGAATCATGCGTCAAGTTTAAACAATGGGATGAAATAAATAGGTGCCACACAGGAACTTTGGTCCAGGCTGTCTAGTGACTGAGGCTGGCTGTGTTTGAACAATAATTCACTGTGAAAAGTGAGGGATTTAATCCATTCTTGAAGATGCACTGTGGTGCTGGGACAAAGGTAAGCCAGAGCATTCTCTCCTGCATTGGACAATATTAGGAAAATACACCAGTAAGATGGATGTCTGTCCACTCACACCAATGAGCTACACAAAGGTGCAGGGGGGGGGTGGAATACGAGTGATTATATCAATAGCTGCAAATGAAAAAGGCCATCAGCAGAAGATTAATTGCTCCACACCCTCTACCCCTAATTGTCCCAAAAAGAAAAGAGAAGAGAGGAACTTCTGTTATTAGTGAAATGCCTGCTAAAGAGTGGGAAACTTTGGATTCTGCAGCACAACCCAGCATGCCATTGTGAAACCAGGGATTTTCAATGATGCAGCTGGGAAGAAAAGGGAGAGGACACCAGAATGCCACTTCGCTGTGTTTCGAGATACACTTTTCCCTGCTGCTCTTCCGACTGGGATTTAGCATTTAGAGTGCCTTTGCCCTGGAGAAAAGTCCATTACATTCCTGCCCCTCTCAACATTCTGATGGTACCTCTACTGCCTGTTCCAATGAGACAATTCAGGAAGAAGTAGGTGCCCCCTGTTCACTTCAGTGAACATTGCACTGGTGCATACCTTTGTGTGCATGGTGCCCGGGGAGGTGCCCCAGTGAGCATGGTGCCCCAGCTCACTGCCATCTCTGCAGCAGGCTCTTCTGTGCTGCCCATGCTGTGAGCCGGAAAGGAGGAATCAGGTCCTGGTAAAAGGTGGTACTTAGGCAAAGGTCAGCCTCTTGCCCCATCAGAGCCAATCGGGGACAGAGCCTGGCAGCAAAGCCGAGGAAGAACTTTAACCCTGTGCTCTCCTCCTAGACTTCAGCACTCAGGTTGCTGGTGGGGCTGACAGATTGGGCTGACGGTGATGGGCCTGTAAGCCTGGCAGCTCCATCTTGGTGCCCAGCTTGTGGACTGGGGGTGAGACATCAGTTAGTTAGCAGGTGGGCTGGCCAATAGCCATATCCTTGCACTATGCCATGTCAGACTCTTCTATGCTGTACGTGGTCATACTCCTTTTGTAAACCACTTTGAGATTTCATTTACAATCAAGCAGGTATATACATTTTATGAAATAAAAGGAATGAATAAATATTTAACCTATCTCATGCCCTGGTGTGTCCACTACTTTTGAACTAATCTCTCATTTGTGTGCAGGGCAGAACACAGGGAGATAAATCAGTATCAACTCCTGTGAACAACCTGTAATTTAGTTTCTAACAGCTATAAAGAAACCCTTTGTTCTAGATCGATTAACATCACTTCCGTTTATGCTTTGGATTCTTTGGAAGAGTACCAGTATATAAGATGTGACAAAGATTCTCTCTTAGTTTTCTTTACAGTGATCTAGTAGAATCATTTTTTCCAGTTTTATCTCTCTGCTTTATGCTCTTCTGAAGAGATGCTAATATCTATGTGGTCAGAATAGTTATTGGGTTAAATCCTCCCCCTGCTGGTACATAGATGCAATTAGCTAATACCAGGCAGCATGGAAACAATGAAATGCCAAACACTCCATCTGTCCCTGTTAATCAGGGCAAGCCCCTGTTGCACAAGTGTCTCCATTTTCATCTGTGAAATACTGGGAGGTATGAAATGCAAAAGGAAAATGAACTTTCTAAAGTATACTTATTTGTCCTTCGGTCATAATTCCTTACTTTTAAGAAGAATGCTGGCAGAGAGTGGGAGTTGGCAGTAGGAATCTTCCTCAGGTGGAGCAGAGATGGCTATGACATGTGCCATAGGAACAGGATAAGGCCCATGATTTATAGCTCACCTTTCAAACCCAGTGGATTTTGCAAGGCAGCTTGCAAAAATACCTTCAACAACTTAACATCACTATATTTATTTAAAAGATAAAACTGTTTCATTAGGTTTTGTATCAATCTTTACGTACTTCGTACCTTGCAAAATGAAAAGCAGCACTAATCAAGTTTATCCAGGTTTATCCATCAAAAGTCTTTCTTTGAAAGCATAATAACTGGCTTCTCCTAAAGTCAGAGAGAGGGGAAATTGCTGGGAGGAGCTCCATACCTCTACTGAGGACAAAGTGTTAAACCCAGCTGGGCAGCAGCAAAGCTTACCAGAGTGGTGAAGCCCCTTCTGCACCCACAGCCCCAGTCCTCACTCTGGCCAGGAAAAGCAGGTGCTTTTGGTGTGGAAGCTCCACGCCTGACACAGCAAAGAGGCACTGCTGCAGCTTGTGCATTGCTGGGCTGGCTTAGACTCCAGCGGATCCTTGGCAGTCCTGACTCTGTCCCCTCCCCACTTCCAAGATGGGGGTTTATACTACCTGGTGGTGGTGATGGCTTCTGCACATCCATGCTTTCAAGGAGCACAGCAGGGATCTCAGTCCCCCTGCCTGCAGAGCCAGGTGCAATCAGGCAAAACTGGGAAGAAGGACCACTTCTTCTCATCCAAATTCCTGACAGTGTTTGGATTGCTTTGCTCTGTGAGTTCATAAGTCACCTGAGATTTGAACCATTGCTTCCTTCAATTCAAGGTCTTGGTTGAAAGACAGAGAAGCTAACATAGCAAAGAATATAGGAAGCTGCCTTATCCCAAGTTGGACCATTGGATTGTCTAGCTCAGTAGTGTCCGCACCGACTTGCAGTGGCTCTCTGGAGTTTCAGACAGGAATCTCTTCTAGACTTACCAGGAGATTCCAGGGATTGAACCTGGGACCTTCCACATGCCAAGCCAGGGCTCTACCACTGAGCCACAGCCCTTCCCCGCAGCTTCCTTTTCACACTTGTGGAAGGTGACTATGGCAAAGGAATCACTTGTGGCTTTAACTTCCAATGGTGTTTACCCAGCAACACTTCTCAGATGCTTCGGCTGTAGCCACTCCCTTGATGAATATCCATCATCACCACACATTGCAAAGTGGAATTTGGCACAACCATGTAGATACATTTTACCCCATATTGAACATCAAAAAAGGAGCAGTGTGGGGGGACCACACAATGTGAAAGGGCCTTGGTTTCCCTCCTCCCTTCTCCACATTGTCCTTCTGGTTCTTTTGCCCATGCTCCCCTCCACATACGGTTATGCCTCTACAGTTGTGTGAAACATTACCACCCGGATTCTGTGGGTCCCTGGTAAAAATGAGAAAGAACAGGAAAACATTCCCAAAGTGTTAGATAGCTGAGGAGAAATAGTGAGAAGGTGCAAAATGCGTAACAGGATTATAGCTCATAATGTGCAAATGCTACACATTCCAGCCTGCTCATTAAACAACCTGCCTCAGAAAGTGGGTGGAAATTATCTTTCTGGGTCAACTCTCCAGTAGCAAGCTGTTGAAGCGGAGAGAGAGAGAGCACAACCTGTGTGAGAATCACAATAATATATATTTATTGTTCATTTTTACAGGGAGAAAAACTTGTCTTGACTTGGCGAGCCCATTTGTTGACCACAGGAAGTGGTGGTTTTGTTGTGCAGGTTTGATGTATGAAAATGTGTGTGTTGGTGACATGGGGTTGAGGCAGGGAGAAGAGCGAGTTTTAGCTATTAAAGCACAACTTGGTATTTCAGTACCCTTTAATGATCCACAAGTGATGGAAGGAATAGTAAAGACTGAGGCAAGTGTTGACATAAATAAACAGAAAACATTAAAATGAATGGACTGTATTAAGAGACTGCAACATTTACATGATCCTCCAAGGCAGATGATCTCCCAGTAACCCAATTCACTAGCCACGGTTCAGCATTTCAGGAGAATCCATCTATTAAGCAGAAGGCTTTCATATAAAGCAGGAGTAGCCAACACAGAGCCCTCTAGATTCCACCAACCCTGTCATGCAAGCTGTGACTGATGGAGGCTGGGGCCCAAAAGCGCTGGACTACCCCTGATGTATGGTAAGGCTGCGCATTGGCAGTGTGTATCCCGAATAATGAAGCAAATTCTGTAGCTATGGAGCAGGCTTTCACATTCTAGAATCAGACTGTTAGCAAGGTGTGTTGAGGCAGACCAGGAAGTCCTCAGTCTTCAGAGTAAACACCCAACCTGCCCCCCTTTTCTGAGAAATGAACCTAAGATGACTGAGATCAAGGGGGACTGGCTGTAGAGTGGATAGATGGGGGATGGTGATGATGATGATGATGATGATGATGATGATGATAATTTATACCCTGCCCATCTGGCTGGGTTTCCCAAGCCACTATGCGCTGCTCCCAACAGAATTAAAAGCACAATAGAACATCAAACATTAAAAACTTCCCTAAACAGGGCTGCCTTCAGATGTCTTCTAAAAGTCAGATAGTTGTTTTTTCCCCTGACATCTGTTGGGAGAGCATTCCACAGGGTGGGTGCCACTACCGAGAAGGCCCTCTGCCTGGTTCCCTATAACCTCATTTCTCACAGGGAGGGAACCGCCAGAAGGCCCTCGGAGCTGGACCTCAATGTCTGGGCTGAATGATGGGGGTGGAGATGTTCCTTCATGTATACTGGGCCGAGGCCATTTAGGGCTTTCAAGGTCAGCACCAACACTTTGAATTGTGCTCGGAAATGTACTGGGATCCAATGCAGGTCTTTCAGGACCGGTGTTATGTGGTCTCGGCGGCCGCTCCCAGTCACCAGTCTAGCTGCCGCATTCTGAATTAGTTGTAGTTTCTGGGTCACCTTCAAAGGTAGCCCCACATAGAGCACATTGCAGTAGCCCAAGATTTGAAGCACAGGTCTACCTTTTAATATGAGTGAATTATTTTCCCAGTGTGATCCAATCACAGTGATTTGGAGGAGAGAATTTGAAGTAAATAAGCAGAGTTCTTCATGTGTGGATTATCATTCTCCTCAACGTTTTGGCTGCAAGAGCAGGGCATAAGTGGTAGTCAGACAATTGAGATGGTCTGCTTCTTTCCCAGCCATTATTTTCCCGAACAAACAGATCAAAGTCATGCCCCTCTTTCTTTTATATTCACAAAGGATAAACGCAGCTGGTGAGGGGGGAAAGCTGACTTTTCCTCTCAATTTTTATAATGAAGGTAAAATAACCTAACACAATAGCACTTACTCCTATTTGTCTGAACTTTGCCAGATTTCTCACCCAGGGGCACCTCCTTCATGCGCTCAGGTTTCAAAGTGATTCTCCAAAATATTAAGGGAGGGAATAGGATTTCTATTCACACAGAGAGAGGCACAGGTAATGTCTGCCCTTGAAGGAGAAATGCTATACCTATCTTTCTGAAATTTAGAAGACTTCATCTTCTCAGAAGGGGTGACTATGGCTGCAATTTGTGTCCAATTCTGGCGGGGGGGAAAACAGAGACTCTTTCTTAAAAAAAAAAGAAGATAAATGTCCCCTGCATGAAAATCCTTGGGTGATCTGCCAGAAATTTGGCAGTTTTAACCCTCTCTTAAGGAATCCCTTTGCCTGCAAATTTCAACCACTAGCGTAAAAGGGGAAACAAAAGGCAGAGCCATCTTTACATGCCCATTATAGTCAACAGAGCTTCAGATTTAAGAAATCAGATGGAGACCCAGAAGAGTCAATTGACTCAGAGGAGATGTGAATGCCACAGATATAAGACAACTCTTGTGGTTGCTGCCTACTCATAATATATAGATAATTAACAGCATTTTTTTAAGCAGATATTGTAACTAAAAATGCCAATTAGTATATATTATTTATTTTTAAGCATTCTCCATTCATTTCCTGCAATGGGATAAACTAGAGTTATCAAAACATAAGGCCCACAGCATTCATCAAAATACTGAGCCATCTCTATATACTGAGGAGTGCTACTGAGGAGTGCTCTGATGGTGTTTCCTGCTTGGCAGGGGGTTGGACTCGATGGCCCTTGTGGTCTCTTCCAACTCTATGATTCTATGATTCTATGATCTTAAGGACTCAAAAAGTGACGCTCTTAGCAGGAGAAAGGGAATGATTCACCAAAGGCACCGACCTTGTGGTGTAACAGTTAATATCTAGAAATAAAATTGCTTAGGGTCAAACCCAGCTGGAAGTTGCATCATTCCCTGATTTGAAAGCCCCTCCCTTGATCCCGATATAATTGCAGAGATTAGTCAGTAGGGAACAAAACTGCAAAGTCCTCAAAGCACACCAGTGCAATATGTGCATGTATGATTAAAAAACACTTCTGGAAGAATAAAAGAGCAGTGAAAGGGAGGTTCCAATTAAATGCAGCTTTTAAAATAAAATAAAATAAAAAACACTTCTGGTTATCATGCATAAACCTCACTGGGCGTCAGTGCTCTGAAGTAGGCAAAGTAGGCAACTAAGAGAGAACTCGGGGCCAGCTTTAGTATTAGGCAGCATGAAGCAACCACTCCAGGTGGCAGATTCTGGGGGCAGCAGCAGCAGCAGCAGCAGCACCTTGACTGTATTATTCTTTTGGGGGACAGAGTTGTATGTCGTGGGGCGCTCAACGCCATAAGTACCTGCTGCTGTCATATCCAGCAAAGGGCACTACCATACCACCAACATTAAAATAAGATCCAGCTGCCATTCTGGTCAGCTTCTGCACCATGACTGGGGCTCCTTTTTGCCCTTCACCACACATGGAGTCATAACCCAAAGTTGTTGTGACCTTCAGTGAGAAAGAAGCTATGTACATTACCATATGTTCCTTGTAGGAAAGGCACAAAGACAAACAATTATACATTATGACATGCTTCATGCCACCTGTTCAATACATTAGGCATACAAATTCATTAAAAACATTTCCAGCCCATGCAGACTTTTGCCTTCTATGGATTTTCCAGCTGATGAGTTATTGAGGGCGGGGGAAACAAATGGAAATGCTCATCTAAGTTTAACAGTCTTGGGATGTTTAGCAATTGCTGGCAAAGTGATTTGCAAAATTGAAGGATTGCTATGTATGTACAACACCCCTTCAGCTTATGCTTTCCAACCATGTGGCTACAAGCTCAATTACAACTACAGTAGTAAAATACTGAGGAGGAAAACAGTGTCAATTAGCTAAGGCTTGTAACCACCAGGTCATGCATAATGTAGTTTTTTGGATGCATCAGGGGAGAACAAAACCATGCAAGGGCACCCACTTGTGGCAAATCTCATTAAACCGAAAGATGGCTGGAATGAAGTTGCCATTGCCTAGGAAGTCTAACATATTTATTAATTCCTCCCTCTGCGCACAAGCGATGCTGGCATCTCATGACCCCGTAATGACTTAAGTGAGTCTTGCGTTTCTATCACTTTTTAATTCTTATCCAGGAATGCTTCTGATATTGCTTTTGGGCTGTTACAAAGCATTTGCCATTTGTGGCTGGGTGGATTAATTTGTCTTTGTGCTTCCTTTGTTGCGGCTCTCCTTTCTCATTCTGAGATATATCCTGCATTTGAGAAAGTTAGGATCCTTGCCCCAGAAGCATAAGAACAGGAGTAATACCTTCCCGAAACAGCCTAGGGACCAGAGGTGGATTTAGGGTAGTGTGACTGGTTCCTTGGTGCTGAGCTGAGGGAGGAGAGGGCAGTGGTGAGCAGCCAGCCCTCCTGCTTGCCCCTGGGCTCTCCTGCACTGACCAGACCCTCCCCCAGAAAATCCCTTTTATTTGGGACATTTTGGATTGCTGAGCAGCGGATGGCACAGAGCATGCACCCCAATTTGCTTGCACCAATCAGCTTGTTCTGCCATCACTGGAGGAGGAGGCTGCCAGATTTTGTCCTTGCACATATTACCTAAGTCTGCCCCTGTAGGCACCATCTAGTCCAGCCTTCTACTGGGTTGCCAGCTACCTCTGAGCT